TGTTGTTAATATAAAAGTTAAAAAGTAGGGGTGCGAGTAAGCACCTTTGTTAGTATGAATTTCCTCTGTCAGCCTGCCATCTGTGCTAATCCTTACCCTCGATGTCGTGCTGGAGTATAGTTCTTGTATTAGGGTTAGGAGTCTCTTATCGATGTTGGTTTCTGTGAGCTTGTCCCATAGGCGGTTTCTGGTGATTGTGTCAAACGCAGAGGAGAAGTCAATAAAAGCTGTGAACAGCCATTTGAATGGCCTGGTGGTGTATTTGCATACCAGATGATGTAGCACATAGATTTGATCTACTGTGCTATATGGCCCTTCCTAAAACCTGCTTGTTCCTGGTGAAGGATGTTATTTTCCTCCATCCATTTAGCCAGCTTCTGATGAAGAAGACCGGTACAGAGCTTGGAGCTGATATCCAATAAGCTGATTGGGCGGTAGTTCTAGGAGGTGGATTTATCACCTTTTTTATAAATTGGGAAAATTATGCTCTGCCTCCACCCATCGGGAAGAATTCCTGTAGCATTAATGTGAGAGAAGAGCTGTGCTAGGACTGGGGCCCACCATTCCGGGTTGTTCTTATACACCTCTGGCGGGATCATGTCCTCGCCAGGTGCTTTGTCTGTTGCTAAGGCATCAATAAGTTTATGCACTTCCTGTTCTGAAACTGGGGGCCATTCGGGTGTAGAGTTTAGTAGAGTCTGGAGGGTTCTCACTTTTGGTGGCCCAGTGTCTGCATCACTATTGAAAATAGTTTGAAAGTGGTGGCACCAGGCCTTTGCCGTGATGCAGGCATTTGGTGCAGGATTGGGACCTATATCCATAGCTGAGACCATACTCCAGAATTTTTGCTCTTTCTTTTCCTGCACAGCCTGCCCTAGTTCCTCCCACTGGGCTGACATGAATGCCCATTTCTTTTGTTTTAAAAGTTCATTATATTTTGAGCGGTAGCAAGCCAACACCTCCAGATTTGAATTTGAGTGCATCTTCCTCGTCTTCCTTGTTAAATGAGCTAGATGCTTTTTGGCTAGTCTACATTCTTGGTCATACCATTCCCATCTATGTGGGGCCGGGGAAGACTCCTGTGGCTTTTTGGTTAATAGAGGTCTTAAGTTAGAATTGATATAGTTGGTGCCTTCTATTGGCTCCCTATGTCCGGTTACAATATCCCTATGTGCACTCAACAGATGTGGGATGTTTAGCTGTTCCCGAATTGTTTGGTCGACAAGGGGGGGACCATTTTAAGCGTTTCCCTACAATCATAGTTCTCTCTGCCCAATCAGTCGGTGGTGGGGGCAACTGTGGAGTTGTCAGGGGGATGGAGAGACAGATGGGTAGGTGGTCACTATCGGGTTGGTCTAATATATTATATTTTGTCTCCTGGGACACCAACCTAGGGGAGCAAAATATATAATCAACGACACTCCCTGCCCGACTATTAAGGAAGGTGAAATATCCTTTTGAGTGATCCTGAGAGCTGCCATGAAGGCAAATTAGTTCTAGGCCAGACATTGTCTCGGCCAGCTTCCTACCTTGTTTGTAGAGGACTTTATCAAAGAAAGACGGTCAGATAGGAAGGGTCCATTATACTCTAGGTCTGAATCAGCTGTTGTCTCAGTTGATCCAGAGCCAATTCTGGCATTAAAGTCACCACACAAAATTACAGCTGCTCTTGGGTGCAAAAACTCACAGCGGTTGATGGCTTCTTCCAATTCATATCAGAAAGAGGTGAAATTTTCTGTTTTACCAGGTGGACAGTAGGCACTAATACATATTAGTGCCTCCAACCCATTGCCCCATGTTCCCCTTACCAATGCTGACTGAATAAAATTTCTTTCCGATCGGTAAATGACTTCCAGCTCCACGTCCAATTTGACAGAGACCAAGATAGCTAAACCTCCTCTAGCTCTCCCTTTCCTGGATGTTTTAAGAGCAGGAAGCGGAAATGGGGTATATCCATGTAACACCAGGGGAGAGGAATCAATTAGCCAGGTTTCCTGCAAACAAAGGATGTGAAACATTGAAAGAAATTTCCCAGACTCCAGGTCCATCCAGCGATGTTCCATGATAAAACTGAAAGTGAGCACTGGGAGTTGGAGCTGTTCTGTGAGTCAAGGCGGTTCTGTCATAAAAGGGTTGGAGCATCGGCAGGGGGTGTCAGTTCTGGATGTACTTCAGCCTGAATTCAAGGAGAGTCACAAGCTCCTGACTTACTGCCTCTATCTTTTTAACTGTCATTACCTGCTCTTCCCATGGGAGAGAGGTGAAGCTCTTTTGATAAAGCTTCATCTTCAATATCAAGCTGTAGAAGCAGATCCCTTGGAGATTGATTGGTGATAGGGCTGAATCTTATGGGTGCAGGAACAAGAGGGGTTGTTGCCACCTTAGATTTGATGGGTGATTTTATTTATTTATTTATTTATTTATTTATTTATTTATTTATTTATTTATTTATTTATTTATTTATTTATTTATTTATTTGATTTTTACCCCGCCCCTCTAGACAACGTCTACTCGGGGCGGCTTACATCAGTTAAAACAAGTTAAAAAACATATAAAATGCATTTATACTAAATTAGTACTAAACAAAAGATTTCCAAGNGCGAGGGTGCCAGCCGGATTTCAGTGGGGAGTGTGTTCCACAGCCGAGGGGCAACCGCCGAGAAGGCCCGGTTTCTTGTTTTCTCCTTCCGAGCCTGCCTAGTGGTTGAGTTGTCCTTGGGGTCTTCTGGGTCTAGAAGCATCAGGTCCATTGGATGGCAGTCCATCAACTGTGTAGAGATATTTCCTCATTTCTGTTGGCCCATCATCCTAGAAGCTTGGAAATGAGTTTCATGGTTGGGTGGGGTAAGAATGAGTGGCATCACAGTATGATCTCTCAAGGATTCAGTTCATATTTGTAGAGAGGCCAAGCTGATTTTGGTTTCCTCCCAGTTGGTACTGAGTTCAGTGAGAGTAGCTAAGGCTTCCTTATTAGAGGGTGGGGCTTCAGAATGAGTGAGGGCAGTCTCCTGAAAGGTCCCTTTCTTAGGTCTAGGTGCTTGATCCATTGGTTGCAGAGTTGGAAGAGATGATGGTGACATTGATTTACTTTTCGGTACTTCTGCCTTGGTTTCCCGGCTGTTAGTGCTAGGTTCTCTTTGTGTTGAGATTTTCTGAAGCAGGGGTGTATGTTGTGCAGTCTCTTTAGATCTGCCCATCAGCCAAGAAAAAGCACATGCCCTGCATCCTATAAAGATGGAGGAATTGGTCCAATTAGCGTCTTAATACTAAAACATTGAATTTGCCTTTCTGTTACAGGGGAAGGTGGAGGTGGAGGCGGAAGCTTATAATGACAAAATGAAATTTGAAAACGGCCCCTTTTCCTATTATGGTGCCATGGCATTGGGTTCACCTTTCTCAGCAGGTAATCTTTGACTCCCTTTCCCTACAGAGTTCCATCCCTCCCTATAACTGCGGCCTGAGCCCCTGGTGGGTTTTCATCAACTTCCTCCTGCACGAGGAAGGTGGCAGGAGAAAAGGGAGGGGGTGCTGCTAGCTGGCCTTGTAGGCAGAGGGACATCCCCCTCTTTGAGCTACATTTACAGTGGTACCTCGACTTACGAATGTCTCCACTTGTGAACATTTCGAGTTACGAACGGCTCCGTTTGCAAAATGTTGCTTCGACTTGCAAATGGAGCCTTGACTTATGAATGAAAAAAACCTTTCCTGCCCCTTTTTTTGACTTAAGTTCATTTTAGATCAAAAGAAGAAGAAAATTTAAAAAAATCTGCCCCTAGTGGTAGAGGACGGATTAACCAACTTTGCATTAGGTCCTACGGGAACTGTACAGTTATCAGTTGTGCAACTAGATACATGTAACATGAAGTTGCATAGGCTGATGCAAAATTTGCACCACGGTGGAAATCACACTTGGGGAGGCAGTTGCATGTATAGAGTTGTGCCTCTGTTTTTCCAATGAGTTGCTCAACCAGTTGTGCAACTAGATACATTGCCTTGGTGTAACTCCCCATGAATTTCTGCAGGCGTAATGTTACACTGTGCCAAGCACAATAGGATTTCAGCCAGTAAAATACGGAAAACGCATTATTCGAGCAACTGGCAAGCAGGGGCTCAAATCCCCATGCCTCCGTCTCCCGTGAAAAATGAAATCGAACTAATAAATCGTTGGATACACTAGCTGGTGACTAGCTGCTGGCCCTGGCCAAGATGCAAGCGGCAAATAAAGCTAAACAGAAGAAAAACCAATGTGTTGGTGATAGAATGCAAGTCATTGCACGAGCAGAGGAGCAGGGATCTGTTTTCAATACTGTACAAATTTTGCCACTTTTTGACATTTGGTTCCTGAGCCTCTTTGTAAGCTGTGTTTTCATATCAGATATTGATTTTCTGCCATCTAGTGGTTTCACTAGGAGACAATTTTCAAATAATCCAGAATTCTATAGTCAGGGTGCCAGAACTGCTAGCCCAGTCCAACAGAACCCCATGTACTTTCTAGGGAGATGGCTTAGTCAAATGATACTGTTGTTTTTCCTCTTAACTGTGAAAATAAAAAGACTGGAGGATATGGTAGGGAAACACAGGAAGGTTAGAAGTGGAAGATGCCAATAAAAATTCAATGGATGAGACAGGAGGACTGCATGATAACAAAGTGGAAACACCTCCAGAATTCTGTGCCTTTCCTTTCTTCCCATCCTCCAGTTGTCTTTCATAAAAAGCTATCATGAAAAGTGAGGTTGTGGGAGTGTACTTCAAATGGACGGAGTTTAATCTTTTAGAAGAGGAAGCCATGCAGGCATATCAGGCAAAAAGAAAAGAAAAATACAAAATAAAGAAGACAAATACATTTGTGGCACCTTCAAGACTAAGTGCTGTATTTTAATGTGAGCTTTCATTGACAAGTTCACTTCTTCACACAGAAGAGAGAGTTTATTCTGTTGCTTTTTAATCCTATCGTAAGCTGCCTTGGGTCCCAGTTTTGTAAGGAAGGCAAAAAGACAGGGGCCATGCTGGGTCTGGGAGTGGCAGTCCAAAGAAATAATTTTTAAAATAAATGCTGGTTAGGAAGTTCCTTAAGTCTGCAGGACAACTCTGCTCCTACTCACTGTTTTTCACCTCTCAAAATCAGTGCCTGAGAACTTGTGGATGTTGACAAAAGAACAAACATCCTTTTAATAAGTGGTAAAGAAATGCTCAAGGCAGAGAAGTTAAGAGGACAGCATGGGCTCCTCCTAGGAGGCATTGGATGTACACAGGATGAGTAGCACCTGTTAATTAGTCATCTTTCTGGATAATAAGGGTGCAAGAAAGTTTTATTTTGAAACTAGCTTAAGTGTAGAACTGATGTAAGTTTATTACTGTAATGAGCAATATGTTCTAGTTATTAAATTTCTCTTAAAGGGCAAGAGCAAGTGTAGTGTAGTGGATTGAGTGATGGACTAGGACTCAAGAGTTCTGCGTTCAAATCCCAGCTTGGCTATCAAAATATACTGGGCTGTGTGTGGCACTGGTAGAGCCACCTCTTAAATATCCCGCTTAGAAACCTTGGAAATCCTACCAGATTAGCCATGAGATAGAATCAGCTTGTCAGCCCAGAACATACCCATTCTTAAAGGATATATCAAGGTATTTCCACAGGCATTTTGATAGGAACATTTTAAGATTTCATACCATTCTCTCATCAGTTCTAAGTCTCTCTTCCCAATTAACAGAAATGAATGGAAAAGAACACACAGCACGAGGAGTTGTGTCAACATTCCAAAGAGTAATAACTAACATGTTGCTTTTCAAACACTGGCTGAAATCCTGTTGCACAGTTATGCAAAAGACGTAAATTGAAGGGCCAACTGACAGTAAATCGCCTTAGGCATTATCTGTAGCATCCCAGGTCATGCACCTCAGTATGCAACAAATAATTCCTGTGGAGATTTCTTAACTGATGTCAGTATGCCAAGTTACACCATTTAAGTAACTGCATGACAAGATTTCAGCCACAGCAATGAACAACAGGAGCAAACTACTTTTTAAACGTAACTTTTTATCTCTGGTAGATAGTAAGTTGAGTGAAACATAAGAGAGAAAGGGGGAGCCTGCAGCCTGTCAAGCACTCAATTCCTACCTTATTGCCCCTTTGTCTAGATGTCAACTCCGCAGTTCACTCAGGCAACAGTGTTAGCCATGACTACATGATGCCTGCCCACAGCAGCAGCAGCAGCACCACCCAGCAGGTTCTGCCCAGTGCCGGTCCGCGATACGTAGCAGACTACACACTCCGCGCCCTCTCTGATCTCCTCTACATCAAGGTGAGGCTTGGGCAGATATCGATATGTGGGGAAAAGACACCTTTGGGAAAGTGGAAGTGTGGCCATACCTCTACTGATAGCTACAATCAAGGGTGGGTGGGTGGTTTCCTGAATTGTCTTCAACAGAGATTCGTGGAATGTGGGCAGAGCAGCTATATCTAATATGTTCCTCTTTCCAAGGGCAAACTGAATATGATAATGGCAAACCCAAGTGAAGACTTGGGTCTCTAGTCCATCGCATGCCCATAAGGTGGAGACACGGGGTGGGTGTGCCGGAATGTGGGCAGAGCAGCTATATCTAATAGTCTGTTCCTCTTTCCAAGGGCAAACTGAATGTGATAATGGCAAACCCACGTGAAGACTTGGGTCTCTAGTCCATTGCATGCCTATAAAGTTGAGAGACGGAGTGGGTGTGCTTTAAACTGCACTATGGTTGGTCAAAAGAGAAGAGATGGGTCGTCTTTCTCCTACTTTGAGGGCAGGGATTAGATCCCCGGTTTATTTTCTACCAAAGACACCTAGAGATCCCTCATGCCTGTGGCTACAGCCTGTGGAATCTCCTTTGCTTAACTGGCCCTGAGAGCTGTAGTCTAAGATCTGACATGGCTGTATCTTTAACATAAGCAAAAGGAATAGCAAGTGACAGTGGAAAGACCACAAAGACACACATTTGTGGGAGGAGGGAATAATCCCCAAGGGAAAGTGGATTTTAAAACAAAACAAAACATGGAAAGGGGTGGGGGGGAAAAAGCAGAGTGGAGATGGATGGGTAAATTGGAAGATGTCTGCACGTGCTAAAAGCCACAGGGATCTCTAATACGTACCGACATGATAGCCAGGGCCCTCATCAGGTCTTGAACTGCCGCTCCCATGATCGGTATAGCCTGGCGAGTCTCCAGACACTCCCAATATTTTGCAGACTAGATATTTCCCATTAATGGTATTCCACCCAAGCCTGGGCCGCTTGTAGACAGACTGCAGATTAAATGAGTACATTAAAGGGGATATATATCCCCTGCCATTCACAAGTGTGGCCTATGATAATAGGATTTCCTCAAAGATGCATGACTTAAAAGTTAGTTTATATTGCTTTTTAAACTAACTATGAGCTAATCACTTGATTTTGACATATGGAGACTCTTTCCAGAGTTTCCTAGGTATGGAGTACTCAGAAGTGGTTTGCCCTTCCCTTCTGGGACCATGTGGGACTGAATAGCTTGCCCAAGGCCACCCAGGCTGGCTCTTTTCCTACAAGGCATCAAGAGAACTGGACTCCCAACCCGGTGTTCTGACTCACTGAGCAATCTAGCCAACCCACTTTAAGCTTTGGTTTTCTTCTATGCCATCAAGTCAGAACCAACTACGAGTGACCCTCATAGGGCTTTAAAGGCAAGTAAGATATTTAAGGAGTGGCTTTACCAGTTCCATTTTCCCACAGAGGGCTTCTTAACTAGGGTTAATCACTCTATCCACTACACCACACTGGGGGTATCCCCACTGCCACCTTCAGCCTACATGCAAGTATTTGACTGGTCCAGAAGGCTATGGGTGTAGAGTTCCCCACAGCCCCTGTGCTTCAGGCTTGCTACATCGGGTACCACGTTTCAAAAGGAGATGCAATATACAGGGATTTGCTGAGAAAAAGGTACTAATGAGATCCGATTGTGCATGCTGAGCAACTGGCACTATAACTCCGAATGGTTTTCCCCTCCCTCCCTCTCTTTTCCCCAAAGCAGATCACACAGACTCAGTATCAGGAGTGTCTGATGGCCTCACTAGCAGAGAGCGATACTGATGCTAAGAAAAGCCAGGAGCCTAAGACTGCCTGCAGCACCGAGGAACCTGACCTTCCAAGTGCTGAGAAGAAGGTGAGGCCCAGGGAGGAGACCGAAGGGAGTAATACTGCTGCTGCTTCTACGAAAAGCCAGCGGCTGAAGACTGCCTCCAACACCAAGGGAGCTGACCTTCCAAGTGCTGAGAAGAAGGTGAGGCCCAGGGAGGAGACCGAAGGGAGTAATACTGCTGCTGCTTCTACGAAAAGCCAGCGGCTGAAGACTGCCTCCAACACCAAGGGAGCTGACCTTCCAAGTGCTGAGAAGAAGGTGAGGCCCAGGGAGGAGACCGAAGGGAGTAATACTGCTGCTGCTTCTACGAAAAGCCAGCGGCTGAAGACTGCCTCCAACACCAAGGGAGCTGACCTTCCAAGTGCTGAGAAGAAGGTGAGGCCCAGGGAGGAGACCGAAGGGAGTAATACTGCTGCTGCTTCTACGAAAAGCCAGCGGCTGAAGACTGCCTCCAACACCAAGGGAGCTGACCTTCCAAGTGCTGAGAAGAAGGTGAGGCCCAGGGAGGAGACCGAAGGGAGTAATACTGCTGCTGCTTCTACGAAAAGCCAGCGGCTGAAGACTGCCTCCAACACCAAGGGAGCTGACCTTCCAAGTGCTGAGAAGAAGGTGAGGCCCAGGGAGGAGACCGAAGGGAGTAATACTGCTGCTGCTTCTACGAAAAGCCAGCGGCTGAAGACTGCCTCCAACACCAAGGGAGCTGACCTTCCAAGTGCTGAGAAGAAGGTGAGGCCCAGGGAGGAGACCGAAGGGAGTAATACTGCTGCTGCTTCTACGAAAAGCCAGCGGCTGAAGACTGCCTCCAACACCAAGGGAGCTGACCTTCCAAGTGCTGAGAAGAAGGTGAGGCCCAGGGAGGAGACCGAAGGGAGTAATACTGCTGCTGCTTCTACGAAAAGCCAGCGGCTGAAGACTGCCTCCAACACCAAGGGAGCTGACCTTCCAAGTGCTGAGAAGAAGGTGAGGCCCAGGGAGGAGACCGAAGGGAGTAATACTGCTGCTGCTTCTACGAAAAGCCAGCGGCTGAAGACTGCTTCCAGCACCGAGCAAACTGACCCCCTGAGCAGTAATTGCAAGGAGACCGATCTGCCCAGGGTGGACATCTGATTCTCCATGGAGAGGGCTGGGCCCAGGAGCAGACCAAGATTACAGACCTGATTCTTCAAAAGAAGTGTGAAAAGGAGGCCAGGTGAAAGGCCTCCTGATTGAGCATGGTCCCCATCTGAGAACGTCAGGATTCAATTTCAGACTGTTAGCTGTTGTCCAGTCCATAACTGTAATCAGGCACCATTCCAGGGTCTGCACAGATTCCTCTGCCAAAGATGGCCTCTGCCATCCGATTGCCCTCCCTAAGAAGATCATCTCGCAGAGTGACCAAAGCTATCCCGTGACATGACCTGAACCCCGACTGAAATGGATCCAGGCTAGATGATCAGGGAACAGTCCCAGGGTGAGGAACACAAAAATACTGCGGCCTGTGGGACTGCTGACTCCCAGCCTTTTACTGTTTCCACACCTCATCCTGCATCTTTCTCTTTTCAGCCATTGACTTTTATTGTTGATGTTCCTTCCATGGATGATGCCAGAGAGAGCTACTTCTTTAAAGCCCACAGCAGGTTTTTTGGGTGTGGGTGTGTGCATGTGCAGTTTTTAGGAGGATCACACTGTGGGGAGGATTAAATTTCTCCTCTTGGGAGGCGGGGCATGTCACAAAGCAAGGAAGGTTGTGTCTTTCAGATCTCTGAGAAGGCATCCCTTTCCATCAACCAGATAACGGGGACTGGAATGCTCCACTGTGGGTGACACCAGGGGAGGAAACACCCCAGAAGAGATTGGGACCAGGTGGGAGCAGAAAGGTGGAGCAATCTGCTCGTCTGCTCCGAAAGTCTCAACAAGCTGTTACCTGGATTGAGTGTCAGTCGCCATGTTGCAGACGCGACATAATTCGTGAGTACCCATAACTGTTGCTCCAGATTGATTAAAGAAGAAGAAATATCTGAGCTGGAGCAAAGAGGTTCAATAAAGAGAAGAAATCGGACTTTTAAACAAGAAAATTGCTGACGTTGTTTTGGGGTATATATATCTGCAGTTTTTCGTAGTTAAAGGCAAAGATGGAGAGTGACTAGACTCCGAAAGTGAGAAAAACAATTGAAAGTAATTTGTCATCCCCTTTCTGAGCCTTTTGCAGATATAAGGAAAATCGTTTTGGCTATTATTATCTGAGTGGAACAAACAAGGCTCTCTTTTTTTCTGAAGTTGGTGGTTTATCTTGGAACTGAAAAATATCCAAACTCATATCTTTAAGAGTATACAGTCAACCCTCGAGTTACAAACGTCCCTACATACGAACTTTTTGATTTACGAATGGCTCCTTTGGCAAAAATTGGCATTGACTTGCGAATGGAGCCTCGAGCTACGAACGAGGTTGAGGCTCTGTTCTCAAGTCAATGCCATTTTTTTTGCCAACGGAGATCTGAAAGACACGACCTTCCTTGCTTTGCGACAAGCCCCGCCTCCCACCAAACCAACATCAGGATAGTATTGAATGTCTTGGAATCCTATGAAGTCCGCCCTGAAAAACAGATGCCCCTAATATTCTTCGATGAAGAGAAGGCCTTTGAAAATATGAACTGCAATTTTCTGCTGACACAGTTGCAATTAATGGATGCTGGAGAAAAGTTGATAGGAGAAATTAAAGCAATATATTCCAAACAAGAAGCAAGAAGCAAAGTGAATGGAGAACTGACAGAAACAATTCAAATTGAAAAAGGCACAGGGCAAGGATGCCCGCTGTCCCCTCTACTGTTTATTCTCATGTTGGAAGTCCTGAATCAACAAATAAGAGAAGATAAGAGAATCAAAGGGTTAAAGGTTAAAGGAGAAGAATTCAAAATTCAAGCTTATGCTGATGATCTAGTAATAATCTTAGAAGAACCTATGACGTCAATAGAAACATTAATAGAGGCAATAACTGAATATGGATATATGTCAGGTCTTAAAATAAATAAAGTACTTAGGAATTAATATGACTAAAAAGGACATTAATGAAGGACGATTATATGGAAGTAATGAAAGAAATCAAAGTAGATTGGCAACAATAGACTAAACTCCAATTATCCCTAATGCGTAGAATAGCTGCAATAAAAATGAATATGCTACCAAAACTAATCTTACTCTTTCAAACAATTCCAATATTATTAAAATGAGACATTTTAAAAGAACTGAATAAGTGAATAACCAAGTTTGTTTGGGATGGGAAAAAAACAGGAATAAATCTTAAGACTGTTCAGGACAATAAACAAAGAGGAGGGTTTGGTCTACCAGACTGGATGAATTATTACAGAGCAGCAGCTCTGTCTGGGTGAGAGAATGGGTTATTCTACAACAAGGGTCAGGGAACTTTTTTTATCTTTTACCCCCCCCACCACCACCACCAAATTTATATATGCCGACATCACCCACAGCTGCTTTTTCTTGAGACCCAAGATACGGTCCCTTAGATGTAACCTACCAACCTTGCAAGCTTGTTGTAAGCCTAAAATAAGGAAAGAAAACAGAAAGACACCTGTGTTCAACCTCCCATAAAGCTCACACCCTCCGTATCGCTCACTCTAACCTTCCCACCTTGCAGGGCTGTGGTGTGCCAGGACGGAAAGCAGGCTTCCGGAGTCCCACTCCACCAAAAAAAAACAACACCCTACCTCTGCCCATCACAGCAGGGGCCCAGGGCCTCCCCACAACATTTTGCTGCCTGAGAACTGAAAGGGGGCCTGGGGCCTCTCCCTCAAGCCAGCCCCCCAAGGCAGGAAAGGCCGCAAAGGCCTCGCCCCCTCCCCCTAACAACCACAACCGAGTAATGCTAACTGCAAAGGAAACTGGTGGCGGTTCGTTCCCCTCCTTGGGACCCCTCCATCCATCCATCCATCCACTCCGACGGCCCAAACTCAGGGCCAGCCCTACTCAGCGGCCCCCAGCCCTGGGATCCTCCTCGCCATCATCCCACCTGGCAGGGCTGTTGGGAGGAGAGGAAGACCAGCACCAGCAGCAAGAGCAACCCCAGCCTCTGGGGCAGCTTGGGCAATGTGTGTGGGAAACCCCCAAGGCCCCCAGGAGAGCCCTACCCCCAAGAGGAGAGGGGAGGGTGAGGAGGCCGGGCACCCTTACCTGTCAGCCCCCACACCTCTTTTCCCCATAGCCCCCCGCCGCTGCAGCATGAAGTAGTGGTGGGAGCGCTCCTGCACCCACAGCTTGAGTGTGCTCTTCTTCAGCAGCACCTCCTCGGGATTCAGCCACATGACGGTCCCGTCGCGCCCTCAGCGCGCCATGACTGCGTCACTCCCATGTCCTCCTCCTTGCAGCACCTTCAGAGGGTGCCCATGTACACAACCCGCTAGCCGGAGCGTGGCCAAGGAAGGAGGCCGTGAACCCAAGCTGGCCTCCCGCAGCCTGCTGTACGCCGTAGTTCCGAGGGCCGCGCTGCCCACCACCTGGAGACCAGGTGGCACACTAGAAGTCCCAGCAAGGTCTGTGCCACCGGCCGTTCACTCTTCTCCTCTGCGCTCAAGGCTGGCCTGGCCTAGGCAAGCTAGGAAGGGTGAGGAAAGTCTGGGCTTTCTTGGGATTTCAAAACAATTTAAGGAAGAAGAGGTTGAGAAGTGGAGGATCTTAGCATCACATGACCCCCAGGATTTTCATTTTTACCCTACTTGGGGTAATTTACCCGTGTTCTCCGACCACTGCTCTGCAAAGTCCGATTTTTAAAAATTGAAGGGCATGATTTAGGACTGGGCTGGCATGGTGCCAAGATGATAGGCAATACAAAACATTTAATTTACATCTGATCAGGAGAGCTTTATTATGGGTCTGCTGTCTTTAAAGGGACACCTTTTGCACCTTTGTGTGTTTAAAACTGTAGCTTAATGTCCTAATCATGCACGTGTCTAACTCTATGTTCAGTGATGCTTATTTGCAGATAAATATGCACAGAAGATTGGAATAGGAAGCTATTATACTACCTTTCCCTCTCTATAGTACATACTGGTTAGGAGAGCAAGGAAGGCCTAAACTGTCATCTCGTCCACCGACAAGCAACACCCAAGGCGATTCCATGGGCAAAAACAAAAAACAAAAAAACAAAAAACATAATAGTGATACCCCCCTTCCTCCTCCCTCTCCCTTACTTCCCACCTAAATAAGTCACACAACATGAAGAATGTAATATAACATAAATAAGATTGACTCACTAAGGTAATCTTGGTTGCAGTAAATAAGTGAACAATGTGTAGGTAAACAAAGAAACAACATAACAATGAAAAGAAAGTCAGGCTAATGACCATAAGCACGCCTTTGGTACTAGAAAACAAAAAGGGCATCCAAAGAAAAACCTGCAATAAAAATCGGAGTCTTGGCGCCGAAGGGCTAAAGGGCTACTTCCTATTGCGGTGCCAGAATCAAGATTTTGAATACGTCAATTTGCTGCTCAAAATGGAACTGGGGATCCAACAGGGATAAGGCCGTTTACTGAGTTCAGGCAGTATGGTTAATCATGCAGAGACGGGCGCTGCACACGGTGGAGGGAGAATGGCTGTTGGTAGGACTACTCTTGCTACAAATAGGTTAAAGGCAGTATTAGGAGGTCTGAAATAAAAAACAAACTTTACATTTTTTCCTGCTTTTGCAAAATCACCAATGATGTCTTCAAAAAAACTGCATTTGTAACGAAATGTCACTCTCAATTGACAGTACTGTATTGTTAATTTGTTAAGGTGTTGTTCTTTCATTGAAGAGCGTAACACTGATTTTACAAGCTTTAGTTTTGAAAAGGAACCCTCTCCTTCAGCCACAGAGACATGTAACGTCAAGTGGAGACAGAAGGTTGTATCAACATTTGGATAGACTGGGATGATGTTTTTTTTTGGCAAGAATTTGCTACATTGTTTGGATAATTTTTGTCCTTTTTTTCTGCTGCTGCTGCTGCAAAGGCAGCATTGTAGTAAGTTCTGGAAAGCAACCACTTCATCTGTAGGTATAAGCTTGCTGTAGAGTAAATGCATGTTTTCTGCACTGTTGAACTGATATGAAAGCCAAGTCATCCAAAAAGCCAAACT